CGGGCCCGCGGGGGCGGGCGGCTGGAGGTCGCGGGGTTTGCGGTGGGAGGAGGGAAACGCAGGGGAACCACGAGTGGAGGTATTCGTCCCCAGGGGCACTGGCGGGGAAGAGGAGGGGAAGTGAATGAGGGTAACGGTGGGGGGCGATCCAGGAGGGTAGGGACCTAGGGAGGAGTGGGGGGGGAGAGGTGCCACCTCAGGCTGATCCGCAGGGGACCCGCTAGGTTCCCAGCCGCGTCCGCAGCGGGCCCGGCTCATCAACATGCAGGCACCGCCCCTCATCTGCATAACCCCGCCCGCCTCCCGGCGAAACCCGCCTCCTCTGCATAAGCCCCGCCTCCCGGAGCTCTACAGCTTGACTATTTGAGGTCCTCGGAGGAGCCCGGGAGCAGCGCTTGGGGAGGGTGGTTCTCGGGTCTCGCTGGGTCCCCAGGCAGGTTGGGCTTCCTCCAGCTCAGCAATTCTCAAAAGGGGATGATTTAGTCCCCCAGGGGGCATTTGACAACATCTGGAGACATTTTTTTACTATCACTACTGGGGATGGGAAGGAACGTGCTACCAGCATCTAGTGAGTATCGCTCAGGATAAAGCGCAGGACAGCACCCCCCGCTCCACGCCCCCGCAAACAATGAAATATCCAGCCCAATATATCAATAATGTTGCTGTTGAGAAAACCATGGTCAGCGCCTCTGTGCAGCCTCAGAGATGTGGCTGCCCTGGCTCATGCTCTATGAGTCCGGCAGGGCCCCCGACCAACCACCCAAACTGACACACTCAAGACGCAATAGTGACAAAAAAAAAAGTTTATTCTGTACTTCTCATGGCATCTGGTAGAGGATAAACCTGCAAAGAGGGCCTGGTTTGGAGGTGACGGGAGGGCACCAGGGTGGGCTGCACGGGGGCTCGAGGGCAGGCAGTGGAGAGCCCTGAACGGAAGCAGGTTAAGGGGGGGCACCAGGAAGACAGATTCTCCTGAGGGGTGAGAGGTGCTCCTTCAGCCAGCCCTGGCAGAGAAGAAGGGCAGAGAGCGGATGTAGGTATCCAGGCGGGAGCGGAAGAGCTCACTTTGCACAGTTTGTCCGAGCGGGCACAGGGGGTTCTTCACCACCAGCTCCACGTACAGCTGTGGAGAGGGAGGGTGTTAGAGCCAGGCTTTGGACACTTCTTGTTTCCGACTCCAAACCTAGTATAACCTCAAGGATGTGTGAATGAATACATCAGGCTCAAGGGCTGGGAGGAAGCCCTCCTGCATGAGAAACCAGGGGTGGGAGTGTTGAAAACTCTGACTTCAGTAGAGATATAATAGGATCCTGGCAGGAAATCTGAAGGCGTCTCGGGGCTCTACATGGCCACCGCACCCGTTGAGGAGCTTCGGGGAAAGGGTCCCAGGGGCGGGCACTGACCGCACTGTAAATGTGATGCAGCACATCTCGGATGGGCCCCACGCCCAAGTCAGTGTTCATCACAACCTTGATCCCCGTGGGCGTCTCGTAGTAATGGAGTTTGTAACGGCTGGTTTGGAAGGCCAGAAACCCATCCTTCCTGCAGGGATGAGGAGCATGTTAAGGAATGGGAGCAGAATCTTCCCAAAAGAAACTCCTAATCATCTCTGGCTCGATTCCCTTCTCTTTAAACATATGTGTAGGTGCCTGGTTGAGCAGACACCTCCCCCAGGCTCCGTTCCCCCTCCCCCACATTTGACCCCCATTCCCCACAGATTTCCCCCACCATAGCTCCGTGCAGCTCCGGCACCCTCGCTCCGGATTCAGCTTCCCCTCTCTGGGAGCCAAAGGCCCCTTCCACTCCAGAAAGTTTCCCCCACCCCCAATTCCCAAGGCTGGTCCTCTCCCCCTCAACATGCCCTCTGACTCCGCGTACATGTCTAGCGGGGACATCTTGCTGACAAACGAACGAATAGAGAAGAGCATCCCGTACATGAGCTTGAACTCCTGGAGGAAAAAGGGCAGAGTTAGCTCTCGGTTGTTGAAGGAGACGGGGCAGGGGTGGGAAAGAGCCACGGTTACGAGCGGGGAGGCTGGCCTAGGACTGTGTGCGTCTGGAGATGCGAGGTCACCCGGTGCCGCGGGGCCCCCTCGTCACCTCCTCCTTGGAGATCCCCGCTTGCTTCTTGCGGTGCCACTCGCTGTAATGCAGACAGACTCCATTTCGGTCAAACAGGTACAGGTTGTGGACAGTCATCTGCGGGGCACAGAGCGTGAGCCTTGCGCTAGGACCGCCCAGCCCCGGTGGGTTCCAGCGTTCCGTCCCTGATCCTTCCCAACAGGCGGGTTCCCCCTCTCCCAAACTCACCGGAACTGCTGCCAGTGCCTGTCACTAGGTACTTCCGGTTTCCGCGGAGCCCCGCCCACCCGTCCTTCCGCGGCCGCGGAGCAGTAACTCCGTCCAAACACCTCGCTCAAACAGTGCGTGGCCCGAGGGACTGCGCGTGCGCATCCGGGCTCCCGGGTCCCTGAAGCCGTAAAAGCCGCGGCGTGCGCGGTCCCGGGCTGGTGACGTCAAGGAGGCGAGCGAGGCGGGGCTGCGCGCGGTGGGCGGGCTGCTGCCAACGGTTTTGAGTGTCTGGGAGCGCGCGAGGGGAGGTCTTGGTCTTCCCGGATCTGGGCTCGGGGGAGGGGGCTGTCGCTTGTCTCACCTTCACAAATTGGGGGGCTGAGGACTGGAGGTGTGGGGTAATCGGGACGGGGGAGCCGGGGTGGAGCATCTCGGGCCAGGTTTGTGGGCGGTGCCCTCTCTAGGGACGTTCTGAGGGTGTGACCGAGTTCACAAAGTTTCCTTGGGGGGTGGGGGGGCT